AGGAACCAAACTCCTTTCGATCCACCATATAGGCAGATCAAGCTCAAATGGAGCAGTCAATTGAGTAGGCTCTAAAGTTTGCCTTCTTATAATTGTTGGATTTGATTTCCAAACCTTCTATTTCAATTTCAATTATTTATTTTTGTATTACTTAATATTACGTAGTATTGAAAAAACCATTTCTTATGTATTTCCTTTGTTGTTTTCGACGTTATTTTTACTTTAATTTATGCATTTCAACTGCTCGAACAAGTCCTATTTGTTTTTTTTGTTTTATTGTTTGTGTATATGGGCGAACTTGGGGACTTCAAAACTCTCATTTTTGTAGGGATGTGATTTTCACATATTTGTTTTTCATAAAGTATTTTTGTTTCTTTTTGCTGATCCATCTTCTACTTAGGGTTGGTTTGATATTGCTGTGCTTTGAAAAAAAACTAATTCTGCTGTGCTGTAAGAATAAGCAGCTGTGAAATAAAGCAGCAGAATGTTTGGTAAAATTTTTTGTAAAAGTGCTTTTGAAAAAATAAAACAGTATTATAATGTTTGATAAACTTTTATGTAAAACAGATATGAAAAAAAGTTGATTTTTTAAAGCTGGATTTTGCAACTTTATATTTTTGGCTTTTTTTATCCAAAATTAAAAAAAAAAAAAAAAACTAAAACTAAATGTTTACTAAATATGAAAAAGTTTGTAGATTTTTTTTATGATCATTTTTTTCAGAATTATCCTAGTACTAGGATTTAATCACTCCAACCACTGCAGGACGAAGGAAGAAGTGCGTACAGGAAAATATTTAAATCGAGACAATGCATTAATCCACCACCATGTTTGAGGCTACGAGCTTTTGCCAGAGGCTATAAGTGGGTAAGCAGCTGCATGGTACATTACTCTGTTTAGTACATTAAACTGTAGTCCAGTGACTGATTGATTGGACTGCTTTGGTGGATTGACACACAAGTTACCCTGCCATTATCTCTGTCAGTCTCGCTCCCAACTTCCAACACTCCGATTTCCAGGAAATTTTTCAAGGGGATTGAAGTACAGAATGATATATATTAAGTTATTTTAACAAAAAATACTCTTGCTATTATTTATTTTAATAAAAAAAATCATATTTTTATATTAAAAAATTAATTAGAATATTATATAATATATATATTAGAGAATTTTAATGAAAAATTACTGTTTAATTTAATAAAAAATTATATTTTTATACTAAAAAATTAATTATGATACTATTTACTTTACTTTTTATTTTGTCATTATCGTTAAAATTCAAAGTTTTTAAATCATTTTCATTAGTTTTCATTATATTATTATAATGTTATATTTAAACTCTTTAATATGAAGTAACTTTAACGAAAGGTTTTCAGTATTATTTACTTTAACAAAAAATTATATTATAATATTAAAAAATCAATTATAATACTATTTATTTTAATTTTAATTTTATTATTATTTTTTTAAACTTAAAGTTTTCCAAAATTTTTCATTAATTTTTCTTAATATTATTGTTTATTTAACACGTATGCGTCCGTGTTACGAACCTCTCCCCATTCCCCCTCACACAACCTTTGGATTTTGATTTGACCAAGCTCCTCAACAAGAAACTGAACAAATCCAGACACCAGTGAGAAAAGAAGGGACGTTCTAGGGTAATCCAAATTAGGAGATACTATAGGTATATTAATTGTTAAATCTAACAATCGTTATTCCGGAACATTTAACAATTTTTTAACAAGAGAATATATGAAATGAAAGAAAAAAAGAAGAAAAGAAATACCTGCTGACACTCATGGCCAATGCATATTTTTGATTGTCGGATGTAATCTACCAGTTCTCAGTCCTAAAATTTAAGTCGTTGAATCAAATCTAACAGTCAAATACGTATCAATACTAAGTGTTTGTAGGCACTTTAGAAAAATCAGAGAAAAAAAAAGGTGTAAATGAGCAAACACTTTGGTTTACTCAGTCCAAATATGATACAAGATTGGTTTTAAACGGGGCCTATAAAGAATGTTTATGACTTCAACCAGTGCAAACTTAGAGAAAATACTTCATTTGTAATGGCCCAGGCAACAGCAATGCAGAATTAATTTTCATGTGAGATGGAAATAGGCAATGCGAGAGTCGACTTCTTATCGTGGGTATTTCGGGTGAATGATACCGTTGCAACGGAAAATTCTCCAGCACAACAAGTTTCAATGTAAAAGAAATAACCAACATTATTTTTGGTTCATAAAATATTTGTAAGAACAAGTTTTAATCATGGCACTGCAGGGGCATCCAAATCATAGGGTGAAATATCGGCTCAGTTTTGCTACTTTGTATAAAAACTTCTGGTGTTCTGGACCCGATCCTGTTCTTTAATATTTGGGATAAGCCCAACTCCAACCCATTGGGCCTCATGTCACTGTCTATATCCTTTCTCTTCAGTTTTTTTGCGAAAACTTTAGAGAATTTTTTATCAATATTTCGTCACTAATTGATGAAGATCAAATGGAACTCTTTTTATCAATAAAAGGAATGTGAAAATACTATTTAATCTTCTATTACACAAAAAGAATGATGGGCAATATTGTAATTTTACATGACCAGATTTTGCTGTTATTGTTGAAACTTGACCTATATGTGCTTTTAGCATATATCTAATATTAAAAATAAAATAAAAAACAAAATACAAAACCTCACTTCTCACTTCCATGTTCTATCTCTCCTCCTCTCATTCCCCCTTTAAAAACAAAATTGAAAAATATCATATACAAAGTGTGCAGGCATATGCTAATTTGAATAATCAAAGTGCATTAAATCCTCATAGAAGGCTGGTATGATATTGTGACGCTTTTAAAAACTGAAATAGTTGGCTCTTTTGTATGATCTTAACATGAATGTCAAGACATGACTTTCTCAGGAAATGATGATGATTGTGCTGTCTCAAATAAAATGACCTGGGAGGACACTGAGGATTCAATGGCACCGTTGGGTTTGGAGGAGGAGGACAGAGAGTTCTCGCCCGTCTTTTGAGCAGAAGAGCAGAGCGAGTGCCCGATCCTTCTCTGAAAATCCAATCATAGCTAACGTAGATGATCATCTTAGTAGTTCATAAGTTAAAATTCCAATTAACGTTAGATGTCCTCGTTGGTTTTCGTTTTTTCTACAACCACTCTCAAATGTATTAATATATTCGCATCAGTTGATTGAAGATGAGGACGAGCTCAAGGCTTCTGAGAAAGAACAATATGTGAATAACGGTTTTTTGGAGCGCAAGTTGGTAAGTGACACAATGCTGTGTTTGCTAAACATCCGCAGTATTTCGGTTTCTTTACTCTTTTTTTTCCTCAGTCGAGTCATCTAAGCAACTTCGAATAGCACGTAAAGGATGCATATCTCGTTCTAATTAGTTTCTCCTCAATCTGCAGAATAAAATGTTGCTGGCTGCAGACCTGATGAAAGGGGTGTTTGAACGACTTTGTTTAAGTTTTGTTTGGAGAAATGGTTGGGGATTTGATCTTTTAGCGAAATAAGATGGTTCACGAATAAAAGAAAACAAAGATTGCATTTTTTTGCCACAACAGAAAAGTTAGATTAAACTGTTAAATTAGTTGATGCTGCATAATCGACTTCATTGATCTTATTCCGTTTTTCTTCCGACTGTGGATTTCTATGCCGGTGTTTCAGAAGGCGGCGAGCTTGAAATTCAGCAGTTAAAAGTTTGGTACGAAGGTTGAATCTGCGTCTACACCTTAAAGGTTGAACGAAGGCATGGTTGTGTTGTATATGCCGCTGAAAATTATTTAGTTTGTATTAGCACATTAATCTAGTACTAATCTACTATGATCTTTTTCTTTTGCTCATAGGAAGGGTAGTGATTTTTTAACAACGTTGAGATTTTGTGGAAAACTAATCAGCAAAAAGGGGAGTGTAAAATTCAGACTAATGCTATACCAAGTTTCAACGTATGATTCCACATTCTAATTTTATCCGTTTGCACGTCTTGTATGCTTAGATTTTCCTTTAATTAAAGGATAAATAAAGAGTGCGAAAATCATCGCCCCCACAGTGGCTACACTGAAACGTCTGTATTTTGGACCAAATTGTTCCTCCAGCATCTAGGGACACCCCAACTCTAACCCATTGGGCCTCACTTCAAGGCATTGTCTTTTTGGGTTCCTAAGGTCTCATGAAATTTCTTTTGTTTTTAAGAAAACTAATGAGAAGAGCTTGAAAATTTTGAATTTTAACGATAAAGACAAAATAAAGAGTAAAGTAGATAGTACCATGATTGACTTTTTAGTGTAAAAATATAATTTTTTATTAAAGTGAACAGGCTTTTCGTTAAAACTCCTCTTATCTTTTGGGTTTTTGGTTTTCATAATTTCTTTTTATATCTATTTTTGGTTTTGTCTTATCAATTTTACCTTTTGATGGGATCGGCCTAAAGAAGAAAATATACATTCAGCAATTAGAAATAAAGTTAAAAGTGACAAGTTTACCAGATAAATAAAAAAGCTTCGAGGACTTTGATTTTAATTCATAAGAGGTATGTGCTGATCCCTTATGTGTTCGACATGTAATTTATACATACGAGGAACGGTAGAAAATGTGTACACTGTGATTTGTAAGAAAAGAATTGACTCTAAAGTGTGCATGAGGTATAGTTGGTTCTTTTATTTGTGGGTCAAAATTTTCACACCGTCATTTTCTTCTTTTTAACTAATTGGGCTCTTTTTACTTATGGAGCATAATTTTCACACTCTTATTTTTACTTCACCACTTATTATTGTATTTATGTTCTCTAACCATTCTTTGATTTATTTGATTAAAGTCTTATTTGAAAGTAATTTTAAAATGACTAAAAGTAATTTTGATAAATATATTTTTGAAATCAATTCATAATAAAAATTCAAGTGAATCTTAAAAAATAAAACACTCAAAACACTTTTTGAAAAAAACTTACAGCTACTATTCTTTCAAAAAGTAGTTCAAGTAGCCAAAACAATAAACTTGAGGTGAAAATGGTAAATAAGAGCTGAAGCTCGCTTATTTTCGCGCTCTGTTCCCTTTCTCGGCGAGGCCCCGTCGTCTCCCTTAAACCCTTGTCAGATACTCAGGCGACGGTACTCTCTCTCTCTCTACTTCTTTTCTATTTATTTGTGGTCTGAATCATCCGGTTTGATCAAGACGAAAAGCTTGCATTTTCTTTTGGTTTTTTTTTTTTTTTTTTTTTTTTTTTGTGCAATGTTTCTTGGAATTCTTAGGTTCTAGGTGATACATTGTTTCGATGATCGTGGTTTTCATCAAGATATAATCTTTTTGGTTTTCTGAATCGTAATATTAGTGGGTTTGTGCATATTTCTTCGTTTTTTCTTTTAATCAGCGGACTCCACTTTTCATAAATGGCCTTTGTTTTGGCTTCTGGTTCCGAAACTGTGAATTCTGATATCTTCTAGCTATTTTTGTTGCTCATTGTACAAAAAATTGAATGAATGGGTTTTTTCTTTTCCGGAATTTTTTTTTCTTTCTAGAAGTTGTAATTGAATTGTTTATTTGTTGCTTGATTCCGCGGATAACACACATTGCGTTAAGTTTCCGTTCAATGCTGTTAATTTTTTCAAATTTGTTGAGGCTAGTATAAATACCTGCATTATAGTGTCCTGCAGTTGGACTTGGTGATGAAACCTCATGCAAATGTAAGCATTATCTTTGTAATATTATACAAAATCACAAATCATTGGTGAAATATCAGGACATTGTTGATCAAATTTGCTGGACATACGGTTCTTGCACACCATGTATCTGAATTATGTTCTTCTTATTTTCAAATTAACTAAGAATTTACACTCAGCTCTTCTACAGAGTGCTGTACTAACTGGTTTATGAACTTTATAAGACAATGGTGAATGCATTTTTTTTCCCCTTGTGATGAAACCTCTCAATTTTCTATCTTTCATTCTTGTGTTTTCCGCCTTCCGTTACATTCTTTTAATTTATATTTGACCATTTTATTCTTTAAAGGAAACATAATGACGAGAATGACCAATTTTTTTTGTTACCCATTAGAGTGCTTTTCAGTAAATAACTTGTCATAGAAAAGGAAAAGGAATATGAAGAATGAATTGCATTTCAGATTTTTTTTTTTCCAATCGGATTTTGTTCTCTATGTCTTTATGCTTATAATAACTTATTAAGTACTTTTTTTTTTTTTTTTCAATAAAAATACAAAAAGAGGATGAGGAACTAGTAGACATGAACTATACAACATAACGCATAGGCCTTCTTTCAACACGCGGCCTTGGTATGTCAAGCATGCAGCCAAACGTTTCAAACAGATCAGTCAGAAATGCAGAGTGGTGGTTTTATAATGTAGTTGTTTCATAACTTTACTCATTTGAAAGGTTGGTGAAATCTGATGCACCTGATGGTCCTTATCGGTTGATTGGTATTTCCTCCTCCCTTTCCATTCTCATTTCATTCATTTTCGGGTAGCCTGTATTGTATGAATATGAATCTGTATATGGAAAATGACCTTTAATTCCTTTTCAGGTTTTTGATATAAATCTGCCCTGTCTGCATCAGAAAATGGGGGCAGGAAGAAAAACAAAAACCTTTATTGCGCCTCATGAAGATCTGGCGACCTACTCTGCATCCATGAGAAATTTGGGCAAGAATCACCTTGGTGGAGTCGTATTTGGTTGCACCAAAACCACAATGGAAGAATGTCTATCTAAACAACTCTTTGGTCAGTGTCCTGAACTTTGTCGCGTGTTTTGTTCCTAATTTTTTCATTAACTGTTTCACTTTTACATTTGGTAAGTGTATTGGTTTGAATATATAAAACCGGTGGAGTAGTGATAATTGGTATTGAACATCATGTGCCCCAATTTCTCCTCATCTATGTTGCAACTTGCAAGTGTATTGCCATCTTCACATTTTGTATTGGGGCCCTCTTCACATTAGATTCTCTTGGAACGAGTCCCGAAATATTGTAGCCAGTTTTATTGTGTGCACAAAACTTTGTGCAAATAATGATCTTTTTCTCTGTTGTTTTCATACAGTACTACTGCGAATTTCCTGTCTTAGTTTTAGTTTTGGGTCTATAAACTCATGAGTTGTATTTTATGGGTTGTATTCTGTACTCTTTCAGGCTTACCAGGTGCACACTTTTCATATGTAAAGAATATCACTCCTGGTTTGCTGCTTTTTCTCTTCAACTTTAGCGATAGGAAACTACATGGTATCTTTGAGGCTGCAAGCTGTGGCCAAATGAATATTAACCCGTATGGATGGACCACTGATGGTTCAGAGAAAACACAATTTCCTGCTCAGGTATTTAAAGTGATGTTTCACATAATAGATCTAATTGTCCAGAGTCGTAATTTCATTTTAAGCAAACAAGGTTTGGGTCTTTTAATACTTTTGTATTATATTTTCTACATTAAGGTTCAAATCCGTGTCCGGCTGCAGTGCCGACCAGTGCTTGAAAGTCAGTTTAAACCAATACTTGTTGACAACTACTACAGTCAGTGTCATTTCTGGTTTGAGCTTGACCACGCTCAAACAAGTAGGGTGATGTCTTTGTTCGCAACTGCTGGAATCGCTTCAAGTACATCTGTAGGTTCTTTACCACGGAATAAAATTAAGTGGAGTGATACGTTTCAAGCCCGCACCTCAACTGGTACATTAGAATGGTTTAAACCACTTACTTCAGATGATTCCACAAAGTTAGTTGAAAGAAATGATCCATTCAACGCCCAAATAGAAATGATGGAGGCTGAACAATCGGAGGAGCAACTCATATTCATGAAACTGAAAGAGTTAGCACTCCAATCTAACCTCAAGAGTAGTGAAGGTGAAGACATATCTTTGCCAAGAGTTGCTGAAGATCATCATGTCTTGAATGAATTGACCTTGGACGACAATGAGAATCCAACAGAGCCATCGGGTTTGGAGGAGAAGAGGGGGGGAAATCCTCACTCCTCATCTGAGGAGCAGAAGGTAGAAAGTCCTCAGTTCTCATCTGAGGAGAAGAGGGGAGAAAGTCCTCAATCCTTATCTGAGCAGAGGAGTGGAGAGAGTCCTCAATCCTTGTCTGAGTTTCAAGCAATCATTACAAAGGTAAATGATCATTTAGTTGTCCGTAAATTATAAAGTTTAACGTTAGGTGTCTGTGTTAGTTTTCTTTTATTTACAGCCAACCTTATGTGTTATTATATTTGTATCAGTTGAATCAAGAGATGGAGGAGCTCAGGGCTTATAAAACAGAGTTCACAGAACAATCTAAAAAGTTTGGTTATTTGGAGCATAAGCTGGTACTTAATATTAATGCAATGCTATGTTTGTTAAACTTTGTTAAACATTGGCATATTTTTGTTTCTGTAGAATCTGTACTTTATTTCTTCTGCTGAGCTGTGTAAGCTACATTTAAGAGCATGCATTGCAGATGCATTGTCTCATAAATCATCATTGACATTAAAAAGGTTCAAGTTATTTTGATTGACACATGAAGTTATCAAACCTTTTTTCTTCGGACTTTTTGCTTCAGTTGATCACTTCTTCACATTTATAATTCAATAAAACATAATGATACTTGCATACTAAAGACTCTTTGTTTATCCTTGTTTCTTTATCAATTTGCAAATTACAAGGTTGCCATATGGAATTCCAGGTCCAGGTCTGATGACAGTGGTGCTTGAATGACAAGGGGATTTCTTTTAACTTTTTTTTGTAGAAGCATAGTCTTCTCAGGAGTTGGGTTTTAAGTTTCTGCCTTCTGTTTTTGGAAAGTTGTTAGAAGGTTTGAATGACAAGGGGATTTCTTTTACATGTAACTTGCTTTTAGTTTGGGATTTCTGTTGTAATGTTCTTTTAGACAATTCAGATAATCATTCATGAATAAAAGCCGAGATTATACCTTTTTTGCTAGAATAGAAATATATGTTAAATGGTCTGAGGAAGTTTCTGGTTGCACATAAAAATCATAGTATGAAACTATTATGTAAATGATGACTGAAAGCACCCTATGGTTCTTTATTCTTCTTGCTGTTAGCCAAAAGGCCAACAAAAGTCCTTCTGAAGGAATTTTGATATTAATTTCTGACTTAGAACTCTTTCCTTGCCTTTCTTATGACCTGTGTCAGTCAGAACCCATGAACCTTTTATGGCTAATAGTTCATAATCAACTTCATTTATCTTATTTCTTCTTAATTTGGAGTTCTACACCGGCATTTCAGGAGCAGGCAGAGACGGAAATTCGATGCTTAAAATTTGGTCTACAGTTGGAATCAGGGTCTACACCTTCCAAGGCACATACTGATGAGAAGGATACTGAATCATGCAATGTGCTGCATTATGACCCCAATGACTCGATGTATCTAGTTGGTGGATATGATGGTGAATCATGTTTGTCGGCATTTGATGCTTATTATCCTTCTCAAGATATGATAAAACCTCTGAGACCAATGAGTTCAGTTCGTTCATATGCCTCTGTTGCACAATTGAATGGTGATCTTTATGTAATTGGTGGTGGCAATGGTCATGTGTGGTATGATACAGGTATTAGATCTTGGTCATTTGAAATTTATTTCTTACTGGAACAAATACATTCCTGACATCTGTTTTTGGTCATTCTCTGAAGTTGAATCATACAGCCCTGGTACTGATGAGTGGAAGCAGTGCCCTTCTCTGAGAGAGAAAAAGGGTAGCTTAGCTGCAGCCACCACAAACAGCAAAATTTTTGCAGTGGGTGGTGGGAATGGAGTTGATTGCTTTTCAGATGTTGAGATGCTTGATTTAGATGTTGGACGATGGATCCGTACACAGTCAATGTCACAAAAGGTAAAATACGGGCACTAAAGTATATCTTAATTGAACATACTTATTGTCCTTTAGCAAAATCCCTTTTCCTATGATGTGTTTTTCTTGCACAAAAAGTTTACCTCGTGGTTCTTGATACGTGCTTCTTATATTGTTCCAGCGTATGGGTCTTGCTGCAGTAGAACTCAATGGTGTGCTTTATGCCACTGGTGGATTTGATGGGACTAGTTATTTGAAGTAAGATATTGAACCTCCTTTCTATTGTTTAGTTTTTCTGCTTGTCTGTACTCAATGCTATGCGTGAACTGCTTGCATATTCATGTATATGACTTTTATCAGTGAATTCTCTTCTTTTGGATCAATCTTTTAAAATAATGTATATTCATCACACCTTGGTTAGAAGTACTCATGCTTCACTAGTTATGTTGTCATTAATAAACGGTTGACCATAAGAAAAGAACAAGAAACTCATGGCGAAGAGTGACTATGGGCATTTAAGTTCTAAAGAAAATGCTTAGGTAGGATATTTATGTTAATTCTATCGCACACCTGCTTCTGCGTGTAATTGTAGTGCCTGCATTCTGAACTATTCCTATATCAGTGGTTGACTTGAAATGTTCATATCTCAGCTCTGTTGATAGATTTGACCCCAGAGAACACAAGTGGACCAAAATTGCCTCTATGCATTCGAAAAGGGGTTGCCATTCATTGGTTGTTCTGAATGAAAAAATGTAAGTACATTTCTTCTGACTTTGGTATGGGAACTTGTCAGAAACTTGGACGTATATCAATTCTTTTGATGAGCATCTCTGCACATGATTGCTCGACTATGCTCTTTCCCGGTTGCCCAAACCGCTTAGGGCATCGCTTGGTATCAAAATTTAATTGGATTGGATAACTCATGGCATTAGTCACAGAGGAAACTTATCCCTTCCAAACTTACCAATTTTGTTGGGATTGGAATGGAGAAGTGTATGTCCTACCTTTAACTTCGAAAAAAAATCTGAAGTTGACATCCATTGAGTCTAATGTCAACTGAGTTCTCCAATGCAATCCAATCATCTACACCAAACGAAGTCTTAAGCAAATGTAAGAGGATTATATTTTTGGTTAATGTGACTCTGATCAGATCCACCCCTTAATTTGAAAAGAACTGCCAAGCATTAATAATTTTAAGAGTGCTAACCCGGTAATTAGTCTCCAACAGCAAGTTTTGCTTTTCTTTGTTAAATTTTGGTGCTGAGCTTGTTTGTTGACCTTCACAATTATGGACATTCACATGTGTAGATATGCTCTGGGAGGCTTTGATGGAGATTCAATTATCCAGAGTGTGGAAAGTTTTGATCCACGGCTCGGGTCATGGATGCCGGCCGAACCAATGTATAACTCCAGGGGATATTCAACGGCTGCTGTTGTCAAGGATACCATATATGTAATCGGAGGGATGAAAGCTGACGAATGCATAGCAGAGACAGTAAGTTTCATTTTATCATGCTTTCTATCAGTATGAACAAGACTTTTGTGGGTACATCGTAACGTTTGTATATAATGGCAGGTTGAATACTACAAGGAGGGGCAAGGTTGGCAGGAAATGGCGATGACCGCCTTCGGTAAAAGGTGTTTCATGTCTGCAGTTGCTTATTCGACCTGATCATGCAATGTTGGATGCTCTTAATTTACGAGGGAAAGTCTTTTGGTACATCAAATGCTGTTATCCAAGGTTGTGATTCCGTGAGGTTGTGCACTCTGAGTCATGCTGGAGATGCTGGAAATGTTTTTAGGGTTTAATGGAAAACATTTTGTGACCGGATACTTTGGTTTGAATATTTTAATGTTGCAAGAATCGCCTCCGAAAATAAAAGGGAGACTTGCATACACCCTCAGGATGCCACCATGGTGTTATAGACTATAGTACAATGTCACAAGAAAAAAAGATTAAAGCACATGAAATTAGTGGTCCTGGACACCAAAGTGGCATCGTAAGGAGTATACTACTCTAGGCATTGTTCTAAAAATCGGCCTAGGAGGCGCCTAGGCGCTGGGCCATGGAAGACTGATGCAATTTAGGCCAAAACATGGAGGAAAATTGGAAAGGAGCTAGGCGGGTTAGGTGGTCGTTAGGAGGTTCCGTTGTTTTTCAATTTAATCAAGTTAAAGGTTTTTTGGGTTACCTACAAACCCAAAAAAAAAAAAAAAAAACCAAAAACAAAACAACACAAAACAAACTTGGATTAAATTTATTTCTCTCGTCCGTTTAGTGTCTCTCTTCTACTTGTTTCTTTGCACTGATGTGTTCTCTCTCTCCATTGCCTCCGGTCGTGTCGCTTCGACTTTACCTACGCTGTCCCTCGGAGCTGCAATTGAAGGTTTTCAACTCTAGGTGGACAATCCCTTTTACATCTATTGAATCATTAATTAATTTGTAATGAAAGATGATGTCAATTTTGGATTATAAATTATTGATCCTTTTAATTTGGTTTTGGTTTTTTCTTATTTTGCGGCATTAGTACGTGATGATAGCCAATGCGATGATAGCTTAAGTTTTAAGTTTAAACTTTCCTAAATTCTCAATAAGTATAGTTGTTTATAGAATGTAAGTAAACACTTATTTACATTTTATATAATAAATTTAATTTAATCTGCCTACTCGCCTAGGTACAAAACCCCAACCCACTCCGACTAAATGCCTAGCATCTTAATCCCTCCCGGCAAATAGGACCAACAACTGTTGAATCCATAAATTTCTTTGCTGACAGAAATCGTTGTGGTAAATTTCTTCAATTAACACAATAAAATAAGTTACTCGATCCTTTTACTTGATCATAGAAAGATAAACATCCTTTTCTCGACAAAGATACGTTAGTTCATGTCTAGGGCCCCGACTTTTGACAGAGGAGACATCCTCAACCTCGGACAAACATTCCATACAGATACACACCTTAATTGTGAAAGAAAATGCTTTTGGGGTTCCGTAAAAGGGTGGACTAAACGTAAAGATCCGGATATCTTCGGAGCCTCCGAAAAGGTTTAAATCCAAAAACACAAATCGAGTTGAATCGTCGTCTTCGTTTACAGTCATCTTCAGCCACAGCCGACTTTCGGCCAAAACGTTATGGAGTGTGATATGGCAGGGTATGCCAATGGGCAGTCCTGCAACAAACCGGAGAGGATTTTCGTAGCTGTTGTCGGGTATATCCAGCTCTGCGTTTACGTGCTTGATTCCACCACTCAACACAAGCTGCTTGAGGGAGAAGCTTTCAAGTGCACTTTGAAAAAGGCGGGGATTACAGGAAGCTTCATTGAGAGAGGTACCGGTTTCCGATGATAACTTCTCAAGTTCAGTTATAAACCTGGAAGGTTGAAGAGATCCATCTCTAAGAAGAGATTCAACCTGTGACATCGTACTAGAGAACTTTCTCAAGGTTCGAAGATGGCAGCAAATTTCTACTTTCGACAATCTGAGCACACAGGTCACTAGTATCAGCTCCAAGATATGCAACTCCTCCCTTTTAGACAATCTTATAAATGTACTCTTCAGATCTCTAAGCCTTGTGTCCAGCTTTCTTAATACCAAGTCTAATTCTCCCATTCCATAAGGAGGAAAAAGCACTGAAGGCAGAAAGTTCATCCATGCCTTTGTAAGCAGTTTCATTATCTGAACGTATTGCTTCGTGAAGGGCAAAACACCCGCAGATGGAAGCGAGTCAGAAGTGAATGTTGCCAGCTCTTCCTTGCAACTTCTGCAAAACAATTTTACAAAACAAATAGTCAGGAAGCACTGAAAGAGGCAATTAGGATATCAAATATGTTCAAAATTTATGGTAAATATGCATGCTTGCAAACATGTCATAATTTGAATTATATATCAGACATTCCTTTGGCAGGATGATCCCATTAAACCCAGTCTCCCGACCAGATGGTATAATGCATAATCTCAAAGCATGCATATCTTTCTGGTGCCTGAAGGGAAACTTTTGTTTTATTTTGTCTATTTTTTCCTGTTTTAGGGAAAACAAATAATGTCAACGGACAACGAGAGAAAGTAATGTGTTACCTCAAAGTCCTCATTACTTCATTCACAAATCCTGATTGTACAAGTGGCCAGATATCCTTCGCCCTTGCAAGAACAACATTCACTAACTTAGTCACTTCATCATGCACCTCTAGCTGGTATGCTACAAGTGAAGTTCCTACTTCCCTTGGCTCCATTATTGGAGACACCATTTCAGAGGTTTCAGCTGAACCAGTCATCTTGTTACTAGTACAGGTTGAACCATCATTTTCAAGTAAAGGCAAGCATGGCTCCCCCGCTTTAAAGTTGAAGTTGTTGAACTCTACATCATATGGTCCTGGGGATCTACTGCACCGAGACAAATAATCCAAAAGGCTATTTTGATTGATAATATCACTCAGTGCATGAGAAATCCTTCCCAGGTACGTTACTGCATAAGAAAATATTGCAGGTGGAATATTGCAATCACGTTCATCTGAAACTGGAGCTGAGATGGCCAGAACTAGCAAGCCGGCCACTCTCATGCTATCAAAGTCCAACTTTCCATTAGAAATTGGCTCCATCTGATAGAAAAAGTAGAAAAAAAGGAACAGTGACAATCAACTTTTTTTAATAGAAATTAGAGAGATTATATTCACACACCTCAAATTACTTCTCCCACACCCCTTTAATTTTTTAATATTTTCTACACACCACTAACACTTGATAGAAAAATATTTAAAAATTAAAAAGGTGCAGGGGAAGTAATTTGGGGTGTGTGAATATAATCTCCCTCGAAATTATAGTTACAAACAAATATAGAATGTAAGCATAAGAAACATAATTGATACTTTCAAGCCATTTCCAGATATAAGAAAACTCCTAAAGCCTGTAACACAAACAATGCAAGCAAACAAAAGGGTGAGACCATATTTTCCTTGGTGCTGTTCCATACCATGCTTTCAAATAGCTTTTATCCATCTTTTTGACCATAAGACCACAATAAAAGCTCTGTTGAAAAGAGAATTAAGTTGCATTCAGCTGAAAGACTAATTTATGATAAATCTTGATTCATGTCATGCATCATTATATTTGAATAGACCCTGTCAGGAACACTGTTTGGTATCACTGAGCAGGATTGAATTTCATATTTGGGAGCTGCCCAAGCTCGACAGGAAGTTGGGTCGTGGTATTTATATAATATTAACGATAATTTGACAGCAAATAGAGGCACGCTAACCTGTGGAGAAACTTCCTCAATCATGCGGACCACAAACTTTCCATGATTTCGTCCAATATGAAACAAAGCAGATAATGCATCAGCTTCATCCTGGAAACAAGAAATTTGAATTAATTGAATTGAAACAATCTGCAACTTTGAGCGAGGAAATAATGGAAAGCTAACCTGTGGATATCTTTCCATATTTTCTAGAAGGGCATCAATAGTTAACCTAAACATCTTTAACTGAGGCAGCTTTGCCAATTTAAGTACTTTCCTTGCGGAAGATCTTATAAGGATATCATTGTCAACCAGAGTGCCAAGAAACTGCAAAAATCAAAACAATATTGGGCAGCATGTACGATTTGATGAAGACAATGAAGATATCTGGTACATAGAAGCGCTGAAATGGCTCATTTCACTGCCACCTCAAAGTATAAGATGCGTTTGCACCCATAAGCAGTAGGTGAATCAGATGTTCTGTCACTTATTATGTATAGTTAGATGACTAAAAGAATTCCAGAACATTACCATATGCATGTGTGCTTCTTGCACCTTCAGAAGGTCAAAGGTAGCCATTTGATGCATAGTTTCAAAAGCTTGTAACCGAACAAGTATTGAGTCATCATTCAGTACATCCATCAATAAGTTTAAGGCTTCTCCAGCAAACTTGGCAGAGAGTATGGCCAGTGTCCTCAATGCATGACAGGCAGCTTTTCGCACCTTCAAGATTCACAAACAATTCCTAATTAGAAAGCATGCACATGGCAAGGTTCCCTTGCAGAACAGAGAAAATAAAAGTTACCTCGTGAAATTCATCCTCTAGTCCATGCACAAAAGCTCCAGCAACACTTGAACCTGATACTTCTAGTTGTTCATCAGAGCACTGAGCAAAAGATCCCTTTCCTTTTATGGTTACCAGAACTCTCTTTGACAGGGTTTGCAAAAGAATATCCTCAGATACCAACTTTATCTTCCCAAGAGCATAAAAAGCTTCAACCCTAACCTCCATGCTCATGTCTCTCACCGTTGAACAAAGCTACAAACATACACAAACATCAGGGTAGGAACTCTACATGACACTCATAAATTTTCCAACTTTGAGACAGAATGATAGGAAGAGAATGTCCTACCATTCAACAATGCAGGGTAAAGTGTGGCTTTCCTTAATGATCTCCTAGACAAAATTTGACCCAAACAAATTAGTAAGACTATATGGACAATATGCATAAACCATGAGTGATGTGTACAAGTTCAAGTCAGCACGAACCGAAACTAAAGGGAAAAGCTAATAACTTGATGACTGTAGACACCAATTTCCAAAGCTCAATTTATCAAGCAAATCCAGGTTTCAACTATACTCAATTAAAAATATTTAACTACAATTAAGACAGATAATCTGATCAGTAATAAGAAATTACTTTGACAAATACTTCATCGGACCAATATGCTTTCGTCTCCAAATTGCACGCCACGAGCATTAGACCCCAAGAACACACCTGTGTGTTCATTCATAATGCACAATGCATAAACAAAGTTAGCACTTAGCACACAAAATCGAAAAGGAAACAGAGATATCAATCATTCAATGTAATTAGCAAAGCTCACCGTGCGAACGGCAGTCAACCGAACGCAATCTTCCATGTCGTTTAGGAGCTCAACGGCACCAAAATAGCAGCCTTCGATCATGTCACGGTCCTCGATCACACCGTTCTCACTCAACCCAACGAGCCCGTCCAACGCCTCTTTTCTCACATTCGGATATGGATCCTTCGTAAACCCTAGAAACAGAGTGAACAGCAAATGAGGCTGTACGCCGAACCTCTCGGCGTTTCTGAGCAGCCACGGCCGTACGGAGCGAGACGGGCTGAAACACAGCGAGGCGAACAGCCGGTCGTCCAATTCTTCAATTCCGGGAGCTAGGGCTCGGTTGCTCTCCACGATTGAAGCGAGCGCGTCGAGTGAGTCGGCAGCAACGCGGGGCGACTCGGTGGAGAGGAGGTGGGAACGGACCGAGTCGAATACGAAGGACGAGAGGTGGGGGTGTCGCGAGGCCAGGTCGGAGAGGAGCTTGAGAGTGAACCGGATGGTGAGCGGGTCACGACTGAGTCGGAGAGAGCGAGTTAGGGTTTCGAGGATGGAGGTGATTGTGGGCCCGGGAGTTGAGGTGTTGACGATGAGGGATCTCAGGGGAGGCAGGACTTCGGGAGAGAGAGGTTCGTCGGCGGAAATTGTCGGGAGGTTGAGAGGGTGACCGCACGTGAGGAGCACGTGGTCCTCCATTGCAGTGGTCAAGCTTCGGTTCTGCTACGCTACAGTGTTTCAAAAGGAAAACACCCGGGAGCGGGGAGAACCGAAACGCGCCGTTTCTCCTTGGCGGACTATCCGGGGATCTACTTGGACCGGTACATGGGTCGTGGGGATCTACTTGGACCGGTTCATGGGTCGTGTCTTTGTTCCGGTCCATAACTCGAGTCAGATGGGCCAACTCTAATTTATTTACTTTTTAATCTATAAAAGTGACATTGTGGATGAAAAAATTTGAACCTACGACCTCGTCGATGCAGGGATAAATACTCTGGGCTCCACTTGTTTATTTTCTTTTCTATCTGTATAGATATGTATCTTCTAAATATATAAAGGGAGCACTTTAAAATGTTGAAGCATTGAAAAAAAAGGAAATTTGGAAAATTAAGTAAACTTTGGATCTCATATATATTTGTTAGTAATAATGTGACTCAAATTCGTCTTTGACGAGAATTAAATTTAAAACTTCTCACTTATAAGTGAAGAGAAATAACACTACACTGTAGTATTAAGTGACAGATTTCATATAGAATTATAGCCACCATTTTAAGTTTATGATAATTATAACCAAAAATAGATGTAAAATACTAATATACCCATGAGGTTCTCTCCTCCACCTCCAAAGCTTCAAACTTTCAGCTCTCCTCCGAGGAGCGGAGATCTCCAATCCAACACAAGGTATAGGGTTTCCGTTTCAGGCAAGCCATGATGCACCACCCCATTTCAGCTTGTAAAAAGGTTGCCTCTTGGTTTCTGGCTTTTAACTTTTAGCTTTTGGTTTGTAGCTTTTCAATCTTTAACCAAAATTCAATCAAAGAATTTGGTTCGGAATTCAATTGCAAGAATTGAATACTTGATTTTATGCTACAGATATACAATTTAGCTCAAATCTTCAAATCGATTTGGTTGGATTCTATGAAGAGAAAGAATTTGTACGTGTCTTTCATTTCCAAGCCTATTTAAATGGTGGCTATAATTCCATATGGAGTCTAAATTGTGGTTATTTTTCCAAATTTTCCAACAAAAAAAAAAAACCATAAATTGCCTCAAGAATTTCAAAAATTAAAATTGAATTAAGAGGAGTTAAAGTAATTCAACACATTTTTATTTTGAATTAAAGCTTAACCTACTTCTCCACCCCTTAGTGGGTTTTTTGGTTGACTTCCAATTTATTTTCGAATAATTTTTTTGATAAAAAATATATAAAAAATAACTTAAATTTCCTATTTTTTAACAAAAACTATCATTAAAAAAAAATGAATTTAAAATGTAAGACCAATTGTTAAACGGTTACGCGTGTGACAAGAGGCTATGTACTATTATATATATGTATTTTAACCTACTTATTTAGACAAACAATATTCAATTTTAAACTCGTAATAATTACAATCGATTTTAAACTAATTTAAATTGTTTGATGGAGGATTCAAACGTGGAAACACATTATTTAGCTTTTTAACTAATCTAAATTTTTTTTTCTTTCTAAAATTTATTTGCACGCGAGACTATTGGTTAAAGAAGGCTGGATGTATTTTATTTGAAGCACTTGGGGTGGTGGAAAAGAAGATTATCTGCTCTAATAATGGAATGTGGCGTAGCCATAACCCTTGCTTGGAAACATATGTGTTTCCACCATGAAATTGAATAAAAATATAACCATATATTTCATGGCGTTAAATAAAGCCAGCCAGCATATGCCAACGAGGGGTTGGCTTATTTAGTAAGGTTTCTGTCTTATGTGTCTTATCAATGTTTGAGTCTCGTTATCAGTATTTCTATTGGCGCGTGATGTAAATTCTTACGTAAATTCATACAGATGACAGTTGTCAGTTAGGTACCATATGTAAATGAGTAAATCATTTCAACTCGAGATTGTGGATATATCCTAACGTTGATGATGAAAATAATCAATCACCACCTAAACTTTTCTTCACACAAAAAAAATAAAATAATAATAATAAATAAATCAACTTTTGCGATCTTGTTGAGAAGGACGAGAAGCCAATTGACGTTCCCAAATAGGAATCTTCCTCTATCGCTTTAATTATTAAAAAGATTTAATTAGTGCGAATTAACTAAACTTATGAAACTTTTTCTATAATTAAAGGATGTTCAAAGTCACGCAATATAACTCCAACGACGTGTTTACTTACGTATCAAGAATGATAAATGGAATCGTTCTAATTCTGGAGTTCTATATGTTACGTAAATTTGAGTATTGGAATCATTTCAATTTATAGCTTACCTTGTGTTTACTTAGTACATATAGAAACATGGGAAAAAAAAATATGTGAGTTTCCGTTTAGAATCCGCAATTGGATACTTGAAAATCAAGAATGAGGATCACCTAGGGAAGACTAGTTGATATGGTTTCCTTTCCTTACTTCCCCTATTCCCATGTTCCCTCTTGTTAAGTAAAAAAGTTAGTGATTCAAGTTACTGGATGTATTTATCGATGTATCTGATATTCCATGTTCGATTGTTCTTTTCCTCGTATTGATTTGTGTCTGAAAAGAAAATACGGCTCTTCACACTAAACTTCAACGTAAAAAGCATGGTTAATCTTTGTATTATTGAAACACATTCAATCCTTAAAAAACGAGTGCATTTCTTGATGTTTAAATAATATATATATGGTGACTTGAACAAAGAATTAGAAGCCGCCAAATCGTTCAAAGTATGACTTGATCTTTTCCTAGTTCCTAATCGGGTCATTTCATCATGCTCGCACCGTTAATTGTTTGGTCAATTTCGTCACTAATTAATACTTTCATACCCGAATCATGGACCAATCATGTTATTTACACAGATCAACAACGCCTAGACCATTGCGTACGGTCGCTCCTGAGTAAGTTGTATTCTATGCATGCCACTTGATATATAATAGTAGTCCACATTTAATAACATTTTAATACTTGATACCCAAAAAACTTTCACACTATAGGTTATGCTTTGGTACAATTTGGGTCGGCTAAAATTAAGTTGATGCCTGATCTGGTACCAAAGATGCATAAGAGCGAGAAAATGCGAAAGAGCCAACATCACCAATAACATGAAAAAAAAGACAATATTAGTATTTTCCAAACGCAATGTCAATTCTTCCATGACTTGGCCATGAAATTAATTGATTTGCTGTCAAATCTGACAACAACTTCAAATCTATTTTTAGTTGACATTTTGGGCCGTACAAGAATTAATAACTAATCAATTAACAATAGATTTGAAGTTGCTCTGAAAGAAGGAGATTAATACTAATTCATGTGTGTCCAAAAAAAAAAAGAAAAGGTTTTCCCATCTCACTGGAGTAAAACTTATGAACTGTCACTTAGTACTGTGGTCTAGTTGTATTTCTCTTTACTTGTAAGTGAGAGGTCTTAGATTCGATTCTTACCAAAGGCAAATTCAAACCACATTATTACTAGTTCATTGTGAGGTTTAGTCCACTCCTCTTCTCCTTAGTGTAGATAATATTGTTTTTTTTTTTAAAAAAAAAAGATATAAATTATCCATTCCAAGACAATTTACATCTGCCATTGGAGATACCCTAATTGGTTTTTTTTCTTTTTTTTTTTTCTAAACAAATGATAATATCTACATTAAAGGATGGATGAGTTGACTAAGCTTTACAATGGACTTACCATAATAATATGATTCAACTTTGCCTTTAGCGAGAATCAAACCTAAACTCACTTACAAATGAAAATAAATATCACTAGACCATATTACTAAGTGACAGATGACCTTATTAGTTTTAAAATACAAGAAATGTGTATCTGGCATTACGTTTTAGTTTCATTGGTGAAATCATATTAGAGAGTTCCACTTTTGAGAACGTCTTCTTAGTATTTCTTTTGGGAATTTGATGTTGAAAAGTTCTCATTCCCAAGCAAATTACTTGCTAATGGGTTGAATTTCATTGGTGAAATCCCACTTTAAAATTAATTCTAGGCCAAAGCATGACCTAGAGAGAGAGTCGTGTTGCTGACTCGTTGTCGTTGGGAAGGTGTTCGTTCACATTGGGGAGCAGCCGGCGGAACCAACGGCGGCGGGGAGGAGGGGAGAACTGATTTGTATTCTAGAACTCTCATGGTTGTATAAATTATTTATATTTTTTTTTGGTGGTGGGGCGGGGAATAAATTATTTATATTCAATGTGGGCAGACTAGACTTAGCAAGAAAAGTCAAAATTTTAAAGGGCATTATTTACGTTGTTTTAATTTTAAAGGGCATTATTTACGTTGTTTTAATTTTAAAGGTGCAGGGAGAGGCGCCGGCAAACCGCCGCAAAAGAGGGGTAGTGACGGTTTGTTGTGTGGGGATTGTTGTTTGTTTTTTCGGTTTTCTTTTTTAAACTTGAGATGAAGTGAGTTAAAGAGGAAGACTCTAATGATAAGAGAGATCTACAAATTGCCCGTTTTCGTATTTTTGTTTTGGTTTCTCTAGTCAGTTTCCATTTTTGTTATATTTCCGAATATGAATGCTAGTAGTAGTTATCTTCTCTACTTGCCTTCTGTTTTGTGTTTTTTTTCAAAATAGTGGGTGGGGCTAGAACTTTATAATTTTATTTTATATTTAAATTGGTTTATTTATTAAGGGTATAAGTGTATTTTCGAGGACATTAAAGTTTTTAATTTAATGTGATCGTACACATATCAAAAGTTGAACGGAAAAGACACAAAAAATAATCAAATAAGGAAGGCTGTTAGCCTTCCTCTTTTTTGGAATAGTAAAATTATAATTATTTAGGATGGTAAGAGAAAATGAACATGACAACTCGAGAAAATATACATGTCAACTCGAGGATTAAAAAAGTGTAATTGAGAAGGTGAGGTTTGGAAAGGGATCCTATCTGAATTCCTTTCCATTAAATCCATTTAGTTCGAAATTTGAACTGTTAAAATTTGATCCAACAGTTACAAATAAAGGAATAAATGTAGCCGTTTGATCAAATTCCAACGGTCCGGATCCCGAACTAG